TTTCCATGGCCAGAAGTTAATATCAGCTTCTCAATCACTGCAACCTGAACCTTGTGTTCTGTTCATCATGCCCAAGTGCCTGGCCCACACTTAGCTCTGAAAGGCACTCTGAATTGAGGCACTCAGAAACACCACACACAGTCCCACCACTGTAACGGGTCCTCTCTACACCTAAGGCAGCAGGCACCGGAAGTAACTTGCCAGGGAGACTCGCTTCATGTAACATCAGGCTTCACCATGCCGAGTATGAACCAAGCTGAGAGTATGGCCTCTGTTGTCATCATCCTGCGGACTTAGATGCCGGGCCATCTGTGGGACTGCACACGCAACTCCTCTTCTCTTCGGCCTGAGTCCTTTAGTACATGTTTTCCCAACAGTTAATAAGAAACAGATGCCAGCATTTAATAGTGGTACTCATTTTTTTTCTTATGCATGCATCTGCTCTTCTTCCGTTACAGTGTTTTTGTGAGAGGCTCCCTGGTTATTTTGAAAGGTATATTTTGTGTATGTAGAGCCCTTTGATATTTTCTAGAAAGACTTGTATTCCTGAACCTTAGTGGCTCTGAACTGGCCAGCCATTCCCAAATGCCACTCTTCCTTCTACCACACAGCCGATTAAGAACTGCCATAAGTGGTTAAAAATGTTCTTTTTCTTTTTTCCTTCACAATATACCATCTACTAGCTACCATACCACAATATACCATACCACCTAGTTAACCTGTTTCCTGTTATCATGTTATAGAGTACTTCATGGGTAAAATATATAACTGGTCCCTTTGAAAGTGTTTTATAATGATGCGCGACGTAAAACTGTGGTTTTCATTCTCAAATTCTATTTATTTTAATCCAGACTAAGTAACTAAACAGGCCGTTTGTATTCATGCTTCCAGAAATACTTAATGGTACTAATCCTAATAAAACACATTATTTTTTATGAGGAAGGATTGCATTTATTTTGGAGAGACTTTAAGTTTTTATCCTGAAAAATACTTTAAAGGTTGGGTGTTTGTGTGTGAAGAATTGTGTAGCTATTTTGTGCATTCGTCCTCCAAGGGTTTCCAAATTTGGTAGATTTTTCTTTCAATTTTCAATTACAATAAGTTTTTATTGCTAATAGTGGAACAAAATGCTTTTATTCCTAAAATTCCATCAAGTACTACTTGATGATTATGTATGTCCTAATAGTTGACAATTTAGATCTCTCTTTTCTGATGTTTATAAATGAAAAGTGTTGTCTTTTTTGTTATTGTTGTTGTTTGTTTTTGTTTTTTTGTTTTTTCCTGATACAAACCTAGACATTCTTGGAAAGAGAAAACTCAGTTGAGGAATTGCCTCCATCGGATTAGCTTGAGGGCATGTTTGGAGCAATGTTTGATTGTTGGTTGATGTAAGAGGCTCAGCCTACCATGGAATGTAGCACCCTGCGTGTGTCCATGTGGGCTGTATGAGAAGGATAGCTGAGCAAGCCCAGTAAGTCCCTGCCTTCAGCCTCTGCCTTGAGTTCCTGCCTTGACTGCCCTCCATGATGGACTGCTTGAGCCTTTTATCCCATAGCTCTGCCAGTGAAATGGCTCCGTGAGGAAAGGTCCTTGCTGCCTTTGTGGGGATTTGTGACATGTATCTCAGCAAAATACCTTTGCAGCTATGAGAATAAAGTGTGCATGATACATATATGTATGTGTGTATGTATGTTTGTATGCATGTATGTATGTATGTATGTATGTCCCAGTCTCATTGGGACATGTGTGGTATGAGTGTAAAGGCCAGAGGTAAGTGTTCCTTAGTCACTCTCCACCTTTTTGGGGGCAAGATCTCACACTCAGTGTGGAACTCACTGATTGAGCTAGGCTGGCCGGCCAGTGAGCCCCAAGGATCTGAACTCAGATCCTCATGCTTTCCAGCAAGCTCTTTACCAACTGAGCCATCTTCCCCATCCCCAAAGTAGTAGTTTCCAAGGAGACATGTTACATGTTCAAGTGAATATTTCTAATAAGAAAGTATTTTTGTTTAGAAAAAAAATGTGAGGATTACTCCCCATATTTGTCTCACTATTATCTGGCACTTCTCATAAAAATTATCTTTGGTTTTATTGGTGGTGGAAAATAAATCATATGTGAAAGATTTATTTAATGCAGACCTATTATTAAATAAGAATGAAAGCATTCTGTGTTATAACTCTCAGACTTGGAAGTACATCATTCAGCATGCATACTTTCCTACCTCACTGCATAGTTCTGCCTGTTCCTTAGAGCTAATTAACATTCATTATGCAAATCTGTTTCCTTAGGATGGAGGTTGTTTCCGATAGTCCCACTATAATACGCACAGTGGACAGTTATGCCTATCTTATTACTTGCTCAGTTATTTCTTCGGTGTAAATTCCTAGGAATGAAACTGATGAGCATGGGTCTGGACTATCGTAAATGATAAGTTTTTGTTTGTAGCTTTTTATGGAATTGCACTTCCAGAGGCTTGACTCTATCAGCAACGACAGTGTCTGTCTCCGCTTCCCTGGCGTCTCAGATAGTCACAGTACATCTGCAGATCGGATAACCAGCACATTTCTTTTCTGTGCTTACTTCCTTACTGAGTTTGAGCAAGCCCTGAAGCATGAGTAGTGTCATTTAAAAGGAGCTGATGACCTCGGAGTTCCATATTCCTTAGGATTCTCATAGAGCTTCAGATATTAAAATGGCAGTTTTAAGAAAGTCAAGAATAACTGAGTACATGAGCATGGGACCCCCTGCCAGTGTCTGCATCTACATATTAGTTTATTGAAGCCGGGAAAGGATGATGAAGAATAGTTGTATTCCCCATGTCATGCATGTGCCATCTAGTTCTCAACCCTGTATTAATGTCTCCCTCCCCGGGGAGCCTTTCGGACCTTTCCCTCCTAACTGCATTCTGTGGCAGTTTGATAAGCTGCGTGTCTGTTTATATATTTATTGTCCATTTAGAGGACATGAATTCATGCATTGATATAGGGCCAGTGCTGCCTCACTTGAGAATACATAGTATCTGTATGTGGTTGGCTACTGATGTGAATATTTGGGATAAGATCAGAAAACCTCGGCCAAACCCTTGCTGAACCTTGGATACCTTTGGTTTTGTGGGACTCAGAGATGTTATCCTTAAACAGAAAGGGGCAGTACTGTTAGTAATTACGCCCACCATTTTACCAATCTGTTCAACTGTAAACAAGTGCCTTGGATTAATTAAGTTCTGTAGAATGTGGTATTTCATTCTTGAGAAGGTAGATATGCCAGGTATGCAATCTTCCTATTGTTGTCGGAGGTGTTTGGTTGTGTTTGCTGAGCAGTATCCCTGATGCATCCGAAGGGACTGAGGATCAATGATAACCCTGTCCCCATATTCTCTCACAGTGGTTTTGCCTCCCAGAGACACTGGGGATGCTTGGGGGCATTTCCAGTCCCCTCAGTCCTTAGAACATCTAGTGGCTCACCCAGGCAGGGAGAGTGGGTTTGTGGGACAGAGACGTGGCTGGCGGAAGAAGTTGCCACTGCCACGATTGATAAACCCTGAACTAGCCTAGTTAAATTAGTCTGCCTCTAGACGATGGCAGGTAGCATTCTGGTTGTGGTATATGTACGTATTTTGCGTCATCTATATATCATATAAATTATGAAATTTGGGGAGCAGTTCTGCAGAAGAGGTTTGATTGCCCGTGTGCATCTGTTACTTAACAGTTGCTTATCAGTTATGGCCACAGATTTCAGTCCCATTAGAAGTCTTGAGAGAAGGGGCCAGTGGCATCAGTCAGCAGTGAAGGGGCATGCCATTGCTACAACTGTCTACTTAGAACTCGTAACTGCTGTATTTGCACAGATCTTTGTAAAAGGTCTGTCTCCTAGAGACTGGACATTGGGCTTCAACATTGATCACGTGCTTTTTGACGTTCTAGCTAAGAAAAAACCAAACTGAACTTAACTGAGCGCTCTTCTTGTATAGTAATGGCACTGTAAACACAAACAATCCGTACATTTTTTTCAGGATCCTGACCAAAGGGTGTAAACGCTTGGTGGAAGGTGTACTGCTAAGGTTGTGCATATTTATTACACAGAGAAATCTGTCAGGTGTGGGAGTTAGAGATTTGGGGGTCCTCCTACAGCATCAGTTCCCCCCCCCAAAAAAATGCTGATCATTGTCTAGAAGAGATACAATAAGTGGATGGTAAAAGTTTTCTGCTAGGACAAGGAAACACATGTAGTCCAGCTGTCACCCAGTAGGCAAGCTGACCTCTGAGTTCAAGGACTAAGTGTCCCACATAGCAAGTGTCCTAGGCTAGCAGGGCTGGCTGCACAGTGAGGTCCTGAGGTCCTGTTTCCAAAGGAAAAGGAGGTACATGCAAAGCCATTGCTTCAGGGAAAAGATTTATATTTCTGAGAGTCATACTCTGAACAGTAGTATCCTTTCTTTTTTTTTTATTTAATTTTGTTGTGTGATTTTAGCTATGGTGAGTAGGGTATGTGATCATTTTCTAAAAGCGAGCATTAGGTCCTATATCAAACCAAAGTTTAGGTGGAAAGCAAAGGAACTCACTGCATTTTGCTTAGCAACCAGCTTGTTGTGTCCTGTTTTGCACTGAATGCACTCAGTCATGCCTCACAAGTGCGTGTGCAGCCAGCTGGACTCAACCGGACAACACTTCATTCACCTGCTTTCTAGACCAGTCAGGCGAGGACTCCGGCTCAGTGTTTAATCATGGGGAAATGATTGTAAACTCCAAGCTCAAGCTCAGCAATCTCAGGAGCCCCTGCTATGAGAAATCACCTTCTCATTCCAGAAAACAAATGTTCCTGGGACCAGAACGGGCTCACTTCTGTTCTTTCCTCTTACCCACCCTTACAAGTGCATTACTCTAGGAAGCCCCAAAGACAGCGGTAGTTGGAACTCTGAGAGCAAGTAGAGGGAACCTTAGAGTGAGACCTTGGTCCTGACTTGGACCTTTCCTTCATGCGGTCTCATTGTTCTCTCCTAGGAAGCAGCAGTTCTGTTGGCACGTAAAGCTCCAGTTCCCTCAGAGTCAAGCCGAGTACACAGAAAAAAGGTAGGAGCCACCACTGGCCAGTATGATGCTTTCCTTCAAGGCTCTGAGTTAAAAGCAGGGCTCTAAGTAGCATCCGTGTCAGGAATGTCTACAGATGGGAGAACCCAAAGGGAACATGTTAACGCCCAGTGCCAGTGATTATCTGGACATGGGGCACGGGTTTAAGGAGGGGGGTGTGTGATCTGGATCAGGAGGTCTGAAAACTCTTTTTTAGAATGAGTGGTCACACAGGACACGGAGGACAACCCAGCGTTGTTCTATGGAAAGTTCCACTATTAGAGTTAGAGCCCTCAGAAGATAGTGTATGTATGTGTCTGAAACATACATGTGTGCACATCATAATACATGGAAATATACATGCATATCCTAATTTGACATAAAGGCTTGTTAAGGTTTATTGATAGAGAATATTTTCAAATATCACAGGTTTTCTTAGCTGTGTGCTGTGTTGTTTCTTGAGTTGGGGAGATGTCTACTTTGATGTCAGGTAGACTCCTCAGCATCTGTCCCACTATGCAGGACCTTTCTTTTGAACTGTCACTGTTGTGTTGGTGAAGAATTTTGTTAGCAGCATGAAGTCAGGGCTGGCCTTACTTTCCACAGAGGGCTCTGCAGCTTTTCTCAGTTTTTAAAGACTTAGAACATCTTTCCTAAAAGCCTTTCTGTGCTTCTGCATAATTTTAGCCTGAAAGGACGTTAGATGCTGTATTTTGCCAAGAGTGAAATAAAGGGTCTTTTGTTCAGTTTTTCTGGCAAATTTAGCAATTTTAAGTTAACACAGTAGCAGATTATAAAAACTAATTTCACTATTTTCCTTTTATGTTGGAAAGAATACCAGATGACAAAACTATTAATGAAATTCTAAAACCTTATATCGATCCTGAAAAGTCTGATCCTGTGATTCGTCAAAGGTATGTTTCAAAAATTGTGTACCTTTCTGACATGATGTAAAGTGTTAACTTAAATGTGTGTTTGTGCACTCGTATGCATACACATGCTGCAAAACATGTATGAGGTGAAAACTTTGGTGAATAGCCTCTGTCCTTCCACCACAGGGACCTCAGGGCTAGAAGAACTGAGGCCATGAGGCTTGATCATGTCAGAATACGCAAAGGTTTAAAGTGTTTATTATGGGAAGCTGTGACTGTGTTTAAATGTGTTGTGAAGTGTGGTCATTGTTGCTAGCTCCATTTTACACAGACACTCCTCAAGCAGACAGTCATGAAAATTAGTTAATTCATTTATCTACCACAGCAACTCTGTATAAGGAGACACTGGTTCATACCCATTGTACAGGCAGAGAAACTGAGCCTTAAGTAAGTATCTTCCTATGACTACTAACGAAGGAAGCTGAGATTCAAACCTCTGCAGTACCTTCAGACTAAAGTCTGCAGTCTTACCCTTAGACTTACCTTTAACTTTCAAGTTAAACCATAAATTCTACAACTGAAAACTTTTCTAGTAACTGTTAAAGACAGGAAATTATATTTCAGCCAAGTCCTCCCAAAACTAAATAAGGTTCCACTTTGCCTCCAGAAATACAGCATGGTCAAAGGTGTCTGGCATAGCTCAGTGGGGAGTTCCACCCTGGGTGTATGCACTAAAGTAGTTCTAACTAGATGAGAACAAGCTGCTTCTCTACTATGCTTTGGTGTTCCCATGAGTGGAATGAGAATAACAGTAGATAGGAAGTCAGGAAGCCGGAAAGAGAAGTATGAAGTCCAGAGGGGCTAGCGTAGTGTAGACATACACGGCCGTGCTTGTGCAGGAAGTATGGTGAGTTGGTCTGCAGTGCTCCTGGACGGGTACCCTGCAGCTTTACTCTCAGCAGGCTCTGTCCCTGGGGTTTGAAGTTTATACCTGGTGGGTGCTGAGTATCTGGTCTGCTCCAGTTGTTTCTCGATATTGAAGAAGACAGCGGCAGCCACACTCATGCAAGCCATGCACGAGCCAAGCTGTCTTTGGGACAACTCTGACAGTTAAAGCTTGATTGATAGATAATCTGGTTGTCATTTGCTCCTGTACTATTTGCTGACACAACTATATTTTCTTTTCTTTTTTTTCCTTTGGTTTTTTTGAGACAGGGTTTCTGTGTGTTAACAGTCCTGGCTGTCCTGGAACTCACCTTGCAGACCAAGCTGGCCTCAAATTCACTGAGATCTGCTAGCCTCCCAAGTGCTAGGATTAACACAACTATATTTTTAAGCACATGTACTGCCAAAACAAGACTTTTAATTTAGAGAGAAGGAAATATTCTTTCACATCTTGCTTAGAAAATATCTTTACCGTTTTCTCTGTCCTTAGATAGATTAATTATAAACATTATTAGCTACTCAAATGTTTAGTCTTCATAAAAATTATGTTGAAATACATTTATTTTTTTTTCCTCTGTGATGTTTTATTTCAGATTGAAAGCCTACGTACACTCACAGACCGGGGTCCAAATTTTAATGAGGGTTGAAAATATGCAGCAAAATTTGGTAAGGTAAGATTGCTTTCCTCTTTTTGTCTTTATGTATAATTAAGTAACTTGATTAAGTTAAGTTGGTACCTACTTACTAATTGTTTGATTGTTAACAAAAATCTAGACTTACAAAAATCACTCTCAAGTTAAAAATACTAAAGTATTTTTCTAAATTTGGTAGCAATCACCTGTCAGACTGTTTTAAAATACCTCACATGCTACTAAAAAGTTTCTAAATCTATTTATTTCAAGAATATATGACTGAGTTCCAACGTTTACATTTCTAATTTTGGAAATTCCAAAGTTCACACATGCAGCTGGCCGCTGCACACAGGATCATGGAGAGAGCACCACACAGGAAGGCGTAGAGGGCTGCCCTGACTAACCCTGAGCTCAGGAAGGTCCACTGGGCTCTCTCCATTGATGCCTCATCAGCGCTGGAGTTCTGCCGCTGGGGGAGGCCCTGACAGTGCTGTCCATCTTAGTTCTTAAAACCCCTGCTCTCTTGTTGTGTTTCCAAGACAGGGTTTCTGTGTAGTCCTGGAACTCTATGTAGACCAGGCTGGCCTCAAACTCACAGAGATCTGCCTGCCTGCCTGCCTGGATTACAGGCATGTGCCCCCACGCTCAGGAGAAATCCCTGCTCTTGAGCATGGCAAGGAAGTCAGGATGTGGCTCATTTTGTATAGCACTTGCTTAGTGTGTGCAGAGCCCTAGCGCTAATCTGTGCTGAAAGAAAAGAAAATATGGGATAAAATATGTTATCTGATCTCAGATAATTGCAAGTCGCAGAGATTAGTCACCATTTCAGGGACTGTGTGGATGGGTTGTTTATTATTTGCAACAATATACAAATTGACACTCAGATTACTTTTACAAAATGAAGTAATACTCATTTTAGAAAGTTTTGGTGTCAGCTTGGCATAGTCGTCTTTCTACTCACCTATTCAATTAGCCTGATAATTCAGTTTTACCAGAGCTGAGGAAAGGCACCCTGTATCGTTTTAATATACTCATAAAACAGAAGGGAATGATTTGTCTTCTGGGTTTGGTTATTGGTTATTTGGTTTGGGTTTGGTTTGGGTTTGGTTGGTGTATTGTTTCCATTCTCCTTCCTTTATCAACTGTGGGATGAGGTTGAGTCTACTTGGATTTAAAGTCAGGTAAATTGGGCTGTGGAGGGTGAAGAAAGGAGGTGGTAAGTTGCTCACTAAACCAGTCAAATTCGCTGTTTGGCACAATACCCACTTCTAAAGCTCAGGGAAACCAAAGTGTATGTGGTCAAAGGGTAATTGTAGAATATAGGACAGCCTGCTGAGTTTTGATAGCAAATATCTTTAACCCTAGCCATTTGTATAACCATGAAAAAGCAGAGAGAATGCCAGAGTGGCAGAAGGGCCTGGGAGAGGACAGGGTGCAAGAATCAGTGCAGGTTCTACATAGAGCACTCAGGAGAGTCAGGGCAGGTTTACATAGAGCAGTCAGGAGAGTCAGGGCAGGTTCTACATAGAGCAGTCAGGAGAGTCAGGGCAGGTTCCACATAGAGCAGTCAGGAGAGTCAGGGCAGGTTCCACATAGAGCAGTCAGGAGAGTCAGGGCAGGTTCTACATAGAGCAGTCAGGAGAGTCAGGGCAGGTTCCACATAGAGCAGTCAGGAGAGTCAGGGCAGGTTCCACATAGAGCAGTCAGGAGAGTCAGGGCAGGTTCCACATAGAGCAGTCAGTAGAGTCAGGGCAGGTTCTACATAGAGCAGTCAGGAGAGTCAGGGCAGGTTCCACATAGAGCAGTCAGGAGAGTCAGGGCAGGTTCTACATAGAGCAGTCAAGAGAGTCAGGGCAGGTTCCACATAGACAAGTCAGGAGAGTCAGGGCAGGTTCTACATAGAGCAGTCAGGAGAGTCAGGGCAGGTTCCACATAGACAAGTCAGGAGAGTCAGGGCAGGTTCTACATAGACAAGTCAGGAGAGTCAGGGCAGGTTCTACATAGAGCAGTCAGGAGAGTCAGGGCAGGTTCCACATAGAGCAGTCAGGAGAGTCAGGGCAGGTTCCACATAGAGCAGTCAGGAGAGTCAGGGCAGGTTCCACATAGAGCAGTCAGGAGAGTCAGGGCAGGTTCCACATAGAGCAGTCAGGAGAGTCAGGGCAGGTTCCACATAGAGCAGTCAGGAGAGTCAGGGCAGGTTCCACATAGAGCAGTCAGGAGAGTCAGGGCAGGTTCCACATAGAGCAGTCAGGAGAGTCAGGGCAGGTTCTACATAGAGCAGTCAGGAGAGTCAGGGCAGGTTCCACATAGATCAGTCAGGAACCTTGAGACCAGTTAAGTTGGGAAGATTTAGACCGTCACAGCAGGGTGGGCTGGGCTTTCTGGTATATCTCATTATCTGCAGCTGTGTTTATTAGTCATGTGATAAGATCCTTTAGGAGAGTGCATTCCAGTAAGAGAAAATAATACTGTCTTTCAAGAGTTTATAATTTTCAGAGAACTTATAGACCTGTTTATTTTACATTAAAACATTCCACATTAGACCTTATAGGCCAAATGTTATATTTATCATTCTCAATAAATACATATTCAGATATTTTGACTTGGCAAAATTACATCTAGTTTTGCATCATACTAGAGTGACATGAATATAAAAGCTTGACATTTCAGTTTGTTTTGGTTTTTAGCTTCCTGGAGATTATTTCCTTGATAAAAGGAGGAAATGTCTTCTCAATGAAAGTTCCACATGACTGGCGGTTGCCTATGTTTGTCACCATATTTTTTAAGTAATAGCTTCTTTTAGCTAATAATTTCTTCTAAGAAGTATAGTAAGGTCAGAGTTAGCTGTCCTCTAGCTGACTGCTCACCTTAGGGTGCAGATACTCAGTGGTATTGGTTTACATTTCTTTCCAAATAAAATGGGTCTTGGAACACTGTGAGGTTTTCAGAAGCTATGTAAGATGTCAGCAACTGTTAATGTCTGTACAAGTGGCTCCTGGATCTAGATGGACTTGGTGTCCTTCTCCCAAATACCCAGACTTGGTCTCCAGCTGTCTTTACTAGCTAGCATGCCTCATTAAATCTAAAGCTCAGTGTGTCTGCCCGTCACTACACCACAGCCATGTCGTCTGTGTGTGTGTTGTCTTGCGTATGTGCAGTGGGGTGATCCTGGCATTTAGTAAACAATCAGCAGATTGTGGTTCTCACCCTGTTACTGACAGTCTTGTAAACATAAAACCTTGGACACACGCATCATTGACAATGTCTCACTTGCCATCCTTCTTTATACATTATCCTCCATAGTGAGTCTTGCCGATGTCTTCTCTCTGTCCCTCAAGCTAGATTAGTGCTTAGCAGTATCTTCTATGGCACCCATTGTTTTCCTTATTCTCTGAGCTTCAAAAACTGTTTATACTTTTCATACATCTTTAGCATCCTTATAACCATGTCATGTATTTCATTGCATTCAAGCAGTCTGTGTGATGCTAAACTCGTTTTTTTTAAGATAACAACTGCTTTAGGTACCTTCATCTTTATTTTTCCTACTACTGCGTCAATGGCTTTCCCAGAGTGGGGGTCACGAGAGGGCTCAGTCAATTAAAATAACTTGTGTAAGCATGACAACCTGAATTCATTTCCCAGAACTCACTTTCATATGAGGCTGGGTGTTATAATGTACACTTGTAATCCCAGTGCCAGGGAGGCAGAGATGGGCCACAGGGGCTTGCTGGCTGGTCAGGATAGCTTATTTGGTGAGCTTCAGGCCAGTGAGAGATCCTGTCTCAAAAACAATGTGGACAGCACCTGTAGGACAATCTGTCAACCTAGATAACCTCTGTCTTCTAGACATTTGTACAGACACACTAAGAAATTAATGAAATATTAATTTTTTGTACATTTATAGCCCATAAACAATTATAGACTATGTAGATGAACAAACATGACTGTGTCTTAGGAAAATACACAAAAAACAGTGGGCTGCATTTGAGCTGTTGCCGTACATTGCTAACTCCTGCTGTTAAGGAATTTTTAACTCATTTGAGGTTTGTCTTAGTTGGGGTTTCTATTGCTCTGGAGACACCATGATCATGGCAGCTCTGACAGAGAAAAACATTTAATTGGGGTGGCGTGCTTACTCTTCAGGGTCAATTCATTGTCATCATAGTGGGAGACAAGGCAGTATGCGGACAGACATGGGACTGGAGAGGTGAGTGAGTTCTTACATCGTAACCCACAGGCAGCAGGAAGTGGTCTGAGACACTGGGCATGGCTTGAGCATTATGAGGCCTCAAAGCCCACCCCCTCAGTGATACACTTCCTCCAGCAAGGCCACACCCACTCCTACAAAGCCACACCTCCTAAGAGTGCTACTCCTTATGAGATTATGGCCTCTGCTGGGACTAAAGGCGTGTGCCGCCAATGCCCATGGTGATAATCTTGTTTGTATGAATAACGCATGTCTGAAGATCAGAGGGTGGAAATTGTCACTAGCTAACCATAAAGGTCTGGAGGTCTGTACAGACGGACAGGAAGTGAGATGGCTGGGTGGAAAAATGATACAACCACAAGGTTTTATATCCTTTTAAGTAGTTAGGTGCATCAGTTCTTGATGTGTCAGATGGAAGCCATCTTAACGAGAGCCCAGTGTGGCGTATGCTTTCTCTGAAGTAACACGTTGTCAGGGACAGGTTTCAGACTTATGTCCTAGTTCATTAAGATTAATTAAGGCTGCACTTTTTTAATTTAAATCTTTAAATATTTATTATTAAATATTTTAAATCATTTTTAGTTACATTAAGAGTTAAGATACCCCCCACACACTTTAGATAAATTGATATCTTTTCTTTGTGAAAACTTCAAGGGGAGGTTCTCCTGATTTTTTTCCTTTGGGGATTGGGAGCTTTCCTTTTACTATTAGATAGTCAAAGGCCATCCTTCTGAGAACTTTTTATTTAATTACTTGTTTGTTTGTGTGTTTGTTTGCATTCCAATCCCAGCTCTCCCTCCCACTCCCTCCACTCCCCCCCCCCCATCTGCTC